AATGGTCTCCTTGGGATGTTCCTCCTCTGCCAGTAATTAGTTTTGTCTAAAAATTTTGCCACCCGCGCCTCAAATTCGGTAAAAGTTCCATTTGACTCAAACATGTTAAAAGTACTCGTACTGAGACTATCATATAAATGGACTTCCATCGACTCCAGTCATAATTCCCCAAACAACCAATTATTTGGATAGGAATGAATTGGCATATAAACCTGACACAAAGTTTAAAAAATAATTACTTATTAATATTTCGATACAAAAAAATGATACTAATGAATGTAATTTCAAAAAAACTAAAAATATACCTTATCCACATCTCACCAAGGAACCATAATGTTGGGGTATGTATCCCATAAATAAATGCACTCCAATCATAACCATCTTCGAGAGCATGGCAAACAAAAAAGTTTGGAGGCATGATGGTATACCGGTCACCTTCAAACTGTCTCTCCGTCAAAAGTCTAATCCAAATCGTGATATATTGCGAAGGCTTTGGTACTTTTGTTATAAATTAATAAATAAAAAATCACTTATAAGCATAAATTTATAAATACTTACTATCTGATCTAACCAATCGTGATCTGTATGCCCCAACAACGAGCTCCAAAACTCTACCTAATATCAAATTGTAGAATCTATGTTGCACCTCATACGCATGAAAAAAATATTTTTGTAACACAACCTCACCACCTGCTACGTAAGGTTGCAGGCGCAAAACTGAAAAGTCATGATCAACATCGAATATTGGAGGAGGAGGAGGGGGGGTGTTGATCTGGTAACGACCTTCTTCTTTGCTCTTCTATTTGGCTTTGGTGTCGTGTGTACCTAAAACATTTATATAATTATTTTATTAATGTTTGACATAAAAAAGATTCATTCCATATTAGCTTTTAATGTGTGCCTGCGTGAAAGGACTACACAAAAACTATGATGGATTACGAAGCCTAGGGCTACCGGGGGTGTAGCTTCATTATCATCCAAAACATCTTCATCAAAGTGATTTGTAGTCCTTATAATTATTACCTCTTCATCTAACACCTATATTAATACGTTATAATTATTAATAAAATATACATATTTATTAACAAATTATATCATACATATAAGGTATCACTAACGTTTTCAGCTTCATTATCATCCAAAATATCCTTATCGAAGTGATTTGTAGTCCGCCCCCTTTCGTCTAACACCCTTCATATAACACCTACATTAATACCTTATAATTATTAATAAAATATACATATTTATTAACAAATATATCATAAATATAGGGTATCAGTAACCTTTTCATCATCATTATCAAATGGCACTTGTTTATTTAATCCGTCATCAAAACAATAATTTGTTTGAAAGTTTTCCAGTTCATCAAAATTTATGTTTTTCCATAAACTTTCCTCATTCACTTCTTCCACATTCACCTCGGTGCGTTCTCGGTTCAATTACACCTCTTGTTCAAGTGCAATTAACCGATTGGCCAACTCTTCTAAACTTGGTTTCCCACTTTGTCTTGCTCTAGCTTCAGATCGTCTACTAGACGATAGACTACACAATGATTCGTCTTGCCTCCTAAAATAATTCCGTATTGGAGATGGAACTGAAGGCGGTTCACCATACACTTACTCTTGACATGACATATAATAAGAAGATCTTCTCTCCTCATCGCTCGGTGTCATCATATGTCTTGGTCTTCGTCCCTCCTAAAACAAATAAACATATGTATAATGTTAGTAAAAGTTCAAATAAATATTTAAAGAAATAAAAAAAATATACAAACCTTTGTCACATCGAAAATCTTGTTCACATCAACCTATTTCAAATTTTTTTATTGCACTCCAACACTTCATTCGAGGTCTATCTTTGTTCCTACGCAACACATAAGCACCTGGAACATATGAAAGCATCTCATAAATTCATATCTACAATTTTAGCAATTATATTAAAACGATTATAACAACTAACATACTTGTTATATTTTATAAATATATAAATATGTATACCCTGAATGGTACCGTAAATCCTGACACCGAGTATTTGAAAGATTGACGAGGCTCAAGTAGTGATAAATATTTATTGATTTTGTTCCACGTATCCTCAAGATCATCGTAGGTGAACTCCCACAAGTAACTACCCCAAGTAACACTACAATATAAAACTTTTAATTAGAATAAATTTTACCATAAAAAATATAAAACTTCAAATTCCACAAATAATACCTGTTCCACCCATCCAAGTTCTCAGCAAAAAGAAAAAAAAAACAGTCTTGTTGCACACGATCATTTGCTTCTTTCGCCAAAAACCCTTCACACAAAACGTATATGAGACATGCTCTAATTGCATCATCGTCGGTAGCTGCTAAGAATGACTGATTTAAAATGAAACTTTTCAAATCACAGATTTTCACCGAGTTATTTATGTAGTTCAGAAAGAGACATTCCCACAATAAACATCTTTTTTTACTACTAAGTTTTGTTCTGACACTCTTTTTCCTATCATTTTTTGATAAACTTCAAAATTAAATCCGGTTATCAAACAAAACTCTTTGGGGCCATAAATCATTTTAGTATCTCCCACTTTAAAATACAATCGCTTTATGCCATATGGAGATACTATTGTGTCTGGCCGTATCCGATGAAAGAATATTTTATGAAATAGCAAGTCGTCCTCTTGTAATTGAGAGACGTCCAAAAAAACCAAAAACAGTGTTTCTAAATGTTTCTCGTCGGGCACCCTTCAATACTTCAAGCGCTTATCATATGTTGCATCCCGATCCTTTTAGATTTACCACAACTTTAACATTAAGATTTTTAGAATCGTGCTGAAATACAAGATGTTAGAAGGGTATAAAACATTAAAGGAAAGTAAGTTTTTATTTCTAACGATACTAAATATTAACAAAAGTGTTAAAAAACATATTATTATAACAAAAATGCAACAATCTACATTAGAAACTATTAGATTTACACAACATCGGCAATTGCATTTAGAAATAAACCAAATGTATATTTATAACGACATCAAAATTGCGTCGTATAATATGCTTCTTGAAAAATAAACCGAATGTATACAAACCATGAGAAATAAACCGAATGTATATAAACCATATTTCTATAATACAAATATATGCATATTTATAACAACATCAAAATTTAAATATCTATAACATAATAATAGCATCAAAAAACATTTTTATAATATAAACTATATATATATATATATATATATATATATATATATATATATATATATATATATATATATATATATGTCGATATGTCGATAATGAGTCAAAAAATGAAAATAAGTCAGAAAATATATCGATAATGATGACAGCCTGAAGTTAACTAACCAAATAATAATAACAACAAAAATAATCTCAATAATGATGAAAATCGAGTGTAATCTAACATATATAGTAGAATAACTAATCCGATTTGTAATAATAAAAAAAATAATCTCAATAATGATGAAAATCGAGTGTAATCTAACTTAAATAGTAGAATAACTACTCCGATTTGTAATATGGATCATGAAAATTCAAGTATTCGTACGTTTTGTTCGAAAAAACATAAAATGCAACATTTTTTTTTTTACCTTTTTAACCTTATAATAAACCAACAAATCTGCAACATCCTGATGGCGAGGTACTCCTAATTTCAACCATATAATTTAATCATGTTGCATTCCAGTCCCTAAGTAGAAGAATGTGTCCATTGGAAGCCCTAGTGGCAAAATTGTAAATTGGGAAGAATGGGAGTACACCATGCGTACGTGCGTACTTAGCGTACCATGGAGCACCCTAGTACGTTGGGCGTACATCAGCGTACGCGGGGCGTACTCGTCAGGTTTGGAAACCCTAAATTTTAGGGCTGACCCCCTATATAACCATCCTTATAACCTCATTTTCCCTCACCTCTTCAACCTCCACCCCCTTTGAGACGTTTTTGCAAACCCTAATCCTTTGAGTGTGTATTTTGAGCTTAAGTGTATGTTCTTGGTGTGTTGAAGGAAGAAAAAAGATATATGGAGGAGCCTTGGTGTGAAAGCAAGCTTGTGGATCTGGGATCTTTGCCTCCTTGGGAAGCTCAAGAAGGTATAAAGTTTTGATCTTGACTTGTATTCCCTTAAGACCTTGCCATGAGAAGTTTTATGAGTTTTTAGTCCCTTTTCTTGGACTTAATGAGTATGAGCTACTCTAAGACCAAATGAGTTGTCCTTTCAGAAGATTTGAGGTGCATTAAGTCGTAAAAATGCTATCTTGACTCATTTGGTGCTTGCATGCTAGTTATAGAAGTCTTAAGTGATTAAGACAAACTAGGGTTTTGGTATTGGGACTTATTAAGGCGTGCATAACCATAAAGTTGGAAACTTTATGGTTTGGAACACCTTTTTAGGCTTAGATCTAGATTTTGACGTTTGGAGTTGTTGAATTAAGCACTGAATGGAAGTTTTGCAGGACAACTGCGTACGCTGGGTGTACGTGGTCAACTACCCGTTTTTGGTCAAGGGCTGAGTACGCTGGGCGTACTCAGCTGGGTTGACTTTCGTTGACCGTTGACTTTCTGTTGACTTTTGACTTAGTTTGACCTTAGGGGCATTTTGAGTATTTTGTTATGAAGCCTAAGGACTGGGTCTCTCCCTTATGTCCTACTTGACTTAGGAATTCCAACAACGTTAGATTCATTTATAGCCGCTAATAATGGGACGTGGGCGGTGCATCATGAAGTCAGAATTAAAAACATGACTATTGGACATCTCCATACCTGGATTAACTATTGTAGAGAAAACAAAAGGAAATAAAAACACAACAAGAAAACTTGGAGATAGCGTTTCACATGGGTCAACCTCTCCCATAACGTACGATTACTAGTGTAACATACTCAAAATGAACTTATAGCCATTTTGGAAAAAATTGAACCTTGGGGTCTAACCGATAAATACTGAAAGTTTGTCGTCCAAAAGTTACAAAAACCACCAAAACTTTTGACCTTTTTAACGTGTCTCCGAGTTTTCTTCACCGTGTAATCTCGTCTTCCCTGTTCTTCATAATCTATCGACATTACCTGAATCTCAACAAATTTGGATACTGCGCCAACCAATTTTTAAATCTAAACTCCCTTCCAGACAGAAAACACCTACAGACGATTGACCACCGTCTTCGCCTCCCCATCGTTCCCGTCGTTCGTCTTCCATCGTTGCTCACTAACTCCGTCTTTGGTTGGATTTTGTTCGTAAGCTTTCGGCTTTTCACTGGGAGATAATTCAGGTACCATAAACCTTAAATTTACAATTCCTAAATCTGAAAAAAAAACTACCATAACAAAGAACCCCCAAATGTTTAAAACCCTAGAGAAAGAAATATTTTATTAATTCTTGTAAATTGGATCACTAAGTCATATATAGCTAGAACAATGTTGACCTGGTTAGGCATTGTAACGAAGTTTATAGTGCTAATTGCACCAATCTGAAAGTAATTTGGAGCTTAAAGCTAGACAATTTACTTGTAATTTACCGGGTATGTTATATCCTCTGTTTATCCGACTCAATCCTTCTCATGTCTCTGATTATTAATTAAAGATTCCTTTGTCCGAGAGAATAGCTCGGTTTATAAGAACCTGAAAGAACTCACAGTTCACATTGCAAAGCTCATGCTTATGACTCTTGATGTGTATGTTTACATTCTTGCCAGCCACCAGGATAGAAGGATGTGGTAGGGTTGCTATAAGTTAATCTACCATGGCAGGACTAGAGGAATTGAAAAAGAAACTGGTACCACTATTCGATGCAGAAAAGGGCTTCTCTTCAGGATCAACCATGGATCCTTCTGATTCATACATGGTAATATAACAATTAGAGGTAAAATTCTAAAGCAGATCACATCAACTTAACCGATTTTGTATTTTCTTCCATGAAGCTATCAGATGGTGGAACTGTCAACCTACTCAGTCGATCTTATGGAGTATACAACATTAATGAACTTGGATTACAAAAGTGCACATCAAGAGTAACAAACGATGTAGATGAAAGAGAAAGGACTTATAGATGTGCTTCACATGAAATGAGAATATTTGGAGCCATAGGCAGTGGTGCAAGCAGTGTAGTTCAAAGAGCTATTCATATCCCGACTCACAGAATCATTGCATTAAAGAAGATCAACATTTTTGAAAAGGTATGCAACTCTGTATGTGTATTTCAGCACATGTAGTATGGAAATTCGATTCCATCACTACACTCACCTTCAACATTCTTTTTCATACCAGGAGAAAAGACAACAGCTTCTTACTGAGATAAGAACATTATGTGAAGCACCATGTTATCAAGGTCTTGTGGAATTTTATGGAGCTTTTTACACTCCTGACTCTGGGCAAATAAGCATTGCTCTAGAGTACATGGATGGGGGTTCATTAGCTGATGTTATAAAAAGACAAAGATGTATACCAGAAGCTGTTCTTTCTTTAATGGTTCAAAAACTTTTGCAGGTAAATATTCTTACTTGTTATCCTAAGATTCATACCTCTTTTTAATATTTGTTATTAATATATTTATTATTCTTCAGGGACTAAGCTATCTGCATGGAGTTAGATACTTGGTCCACAGAGACATAAAGCCTGCAAATTTGCTTGTGAATCTCAAGGGGGAACCAAAAATTACAGACTTTGGGATAAGTGCTGGTTTAGAGAATTCCATGGCAATGGTAAGTGTTTTGTTTTTTTTAGCCTCATTTTGTATTAAATACAACGTGAAGCTAACGATTATTAATAAATGTGGTTGTAATATTCCTAGATCCTTTTTTCAGTGTGCTACATTTGTGGGAACTGTGACCTACATGTCACCTGAAAGAATCAGAAATGAAAGTTATTCATATCCAGCTGATATCTGGAGCCTTGGTCTTGCTCTTTTTGAGTGTGGCACTGGTGAATTTCCTTATACAGCAAATGAAGGACCTGTTAATCTTATGTTGCAGGTAATTTTGTCAACTGCAGTATATTGGTTTTTTCTTTTATTCTTGCTGATATATATATATATATATATATATATATATATATATATATATATATATATAAATTTTTATTTCCCACATCTTAATAGATCCTGGAAGATCCATCTCCATCACCACCAAAACACATTTTTTCTCCAGAGTTCTGCTCATTTATTGAGGCTTGTCTACAGAAAGATGCTGATGCAAGACCAACTGCAGAGCAGGTAAGAAAAAAGAGCCTTTTGTCTATGGAAACACTATTTGAGTAAAAGTAGTGGCAATTCACAAGATATTTATCATTTGCTGATTATACATTTATACTTTTATGCAGCTTCTTTCACATCCATTTATCACAAAATACGAGAATGCCAAAGTCGACTTAGCAGCATTTGTTCGTAGCATTTTTGATCCAACACAAAGAATGAAAGATTTGGCAGATGTAAAATGACAAATTTACCCCTACTTATATACATGCTTTACTAGATTTTCATTATACTTATGTTTCAATCTTGTATTTTTTTGTTTCATCAGATGCTAGCAGTACATTACTATTTGCTTTTCGATGGGTCAGATGAACTCTGGCAATCTGCAAAGAGCTTCTACAATGAATCATCAACTTTCAGGTTCATCTAATTTGAGTTTTCTCTTTTTATATATTTTGTTTATAATTAATTTATAATACATAATATATATAAAACCATTATGGCATCTTTGATTTACTATTTTCAGTTTCTCGGGGAAAGAATCTACTGGGCCTGATGATATTTTTAAAACTTTATCAAATATTCGGAGTACATTAGCTGGTGAATGGCCTTCTGAAAAGCTTGTGCATGTTGTTGAAAAGCTACAGTGTAGGGCCCACGGTGAAGATGGAGTTGCAATCCGTGTTTCGGGATCATTTATTGTTGGAAACCAGTTTCTTATATGTGGAGATGGCATACAGGCAGAAGATGTGCCAGATTTTAAAGATTTAAATATCGACATACCTACTAAAAGAATGGGAACATTTCAAGAACAGTTTATTATGGACCCTGGAAATATCATTGGCCGATACTCCATTGCCAAACAAGAGCTTTACATCATCCAATAAAAAAGGTCTTTTTCTTTTCTTGACTAAATCACCATTTTACCCTTACATACTTACATTCCAACAAACACTTTTCACAAATCATTGCTATTATGATGTTCAGGTGGTGAACTGAACTATTTCTGCTAGTAGTTGGAGTTCTTTCTCTTCTTGGTTGAATCTATGTATGTATGTACAAAGTGTTTAGGATTTGTTCCACACTAGGAGTAACTCTGTTTTTGTGTAATGTTAATTTGTTGTAAGTTAGTATCAATATGGGAAATGTACCCATTTTTATATATTTCTAATAGGCTAATACCAATATACTTGTGTTTCTTTATCTATAACACATTAAGAACGTACTTATATCTTTTTTTGCTGATAATGGCAATATGTAACTCCTAATAGGAACATATTTACATCTGTTTACACATAAATAACGTGTTTAAAATTCCTTGCCCATGATGGTGACATACGTATGTTTTTTTAGCAATGATAGCAATATGTGATAAATATTAGATATTATGGGTAAAACATGTTAGTATGTTGTTAATTAAGTGTATAAAATGTAAGTATTCTGCTCATGTTGCTATCACTCTTAACATGTCCATACTCATATAGTGTTGTGTGGCGGTTATTTAAAATCTACTTTTGAACCACTTGGGTTGTGGTGACTTGGTAAGGCATGTGGAAGATATGGTGGATAACCTATTGACCCATGTTCAAATCCTGGCACTACTCAGCCCTTGTGGCCATGGAGGTTCGCCTGCAGTGACTCCAGGGCATGAGGCAAAGCCTCATGTTTGCAGCGGGGGATTAGTCGGTGCGCGAAAGCTGGCCCGGAAACCCTCGTTAGGGAAGTTCCCTTTCCAAAAAAAAAATCTACTTTTGGATATACTTAACGTGGTATATAATGTGTTTAAATTTAAACAAAATTAGTGTTACCAGATTTTGATGACAAATATTAGTACACATCCAAAAAGATCGGATAGAAGTACAAATGCATAATCTAAAAACATATGTTGATTTTTATCTAAATCTCACATTTAAATTCAAACATAGTAGATAATCATAGAGAACAAAATCAATGTTATCGTATATTTTATAACAGATATATCTAAAAGGATCAGATAGAAACAGAATTTAAAATATATTTTGATTTTTATTTCAGTTCCAGATAAAACGATTAGATATCATGGATTAAAATTTAAAATAAACGTAGAGTTTTGGTTGCAAAGTAACCACTGATTGTTGAAATTAACAAAAAAACACACTATCCTTTTAAGTGAATGATTTTATCATATTGTAAATTGAAATGAAACTAATATCTAATTATTAAAGTCTTTTATTTTAACATATTTTGCATTTTGTATTTAATAATAGAGGTCGGAAATGAATAAACTAAACTATTAGAATGAGATAAGAGAAATCATTTGTTCTATCGAATGAAATAAAACAAAATTAATCATTTCTTGATTGTTTCTATTTTGTTGGTTTTCATTATGTGGACACTAGGTTTTTTATTTTACGTGAATTCTCCTGTGAGACGAACATTTCTTAAAAAAAATTCAAAAAATTAATCAGATAAAAAAATATTTTTCGAAACTTGGTTTTATTTTATTTATTTTGTTTATAGATAATGTTTTTTACAAGAAACTTGTTTCTGTTTTTATTTACAAATTTAATTGAATGCGGATGTTTATTAATATTATATCAAACTATATACTTGAATGATTAATTATATAATACGATCAGTATTGATGATATACAAATATTTAATATGTAAACTTATATTATCATGCTGTCAATTTATCCTTTATATTTTTATCTCAACAAACAAAATAACCTTATTTGCGTTTTTTAAATTCCAAAAATAAGAGGCATTAATCTCATGATTCATAATGACATAATCTGTAATGAAAAAATTGCAGAGAAATCGTTAAAAAATTGGGCCAGCAAGCAGAAATTCTGGGAATCTTTTGGGCCCCCGGTCTGCCACCATCTGACTCGGTAATCATGCCTTACCCACCGTCAGGTCACGCACCACTACCGGTCCAACACCATGTAAATACCAACTCCGCAGAAGGGTAATACTGGAATTTTCAAAAGCGCGGGAAAAAGAGCCGTTGTAAAAATAATGGCGCCAAAATTCCCAAAATTTAACTCGATTTATCTCTGTATTTATCATTTTATTGTTTGCCGCCTCCATTCAAAGCTCCATTATTCAAGCTCCTCTTTCTCATAACTCTATATTCTCCATTTTGATTTTTCGCTCGATATTTTTTCTTCTTCACATCCTCTGATCAACGAACCTGCTTTTGATCGTAGAAAGCTCCGTTTTCCGACTTCAAGTTATGGGTTTCTCTAAAAAGCATCAAGTAGATGGAGATATAATGGAAGGAAAGACATGGGTGATTTCTGGAATCACCATGGGTGCTCCCTTGAGATCTGTATCGACTAATAAAGCAAATGGAGAGACTGATGAAGGCTCAAACTCGGGTTCAACGACTCCGACATCAAAGGAATCGAGGTTGTCGGAGAAGTTTCGATGTCCGCCACCACCAGCACCAAAGAAGCGTCGGCCGGTATCCAAGTGCCAGAAGAATGGCGATATCCAGTTTTTCAATTCACCGGAGTTGGATTCTTTTTTCGAAAATTTTGCAAATGCTGAGAGAGCCAAATACAAATCCCGTTCGTAAGTTTCTAGGTTTGCCATGAATATTTTTATTTTCTGTTTTGATTTCAATAGTTTGGGACAGATTTGGTTTATAAATTATAACCATGTACAGATTATGTGTATATGAGCATTAATAAAGTCGGAATTTCATATGAGATTGATTATCTTTGTTAATTTGGTTTTGATGATCAATGTTTTAGCCTCTTCTCTTTCTGAAATAAATTCAACAATTTCTAGTTGAGTTATTTAGAAGAATTACATCGTTCATTTTAGAATTCATCTCAACATTTGGCTCTCATGGGGATTGGGTTCAGGTTCAGATATGTGTTTTGAAAATTATTATCTAATTATTATTTGAAATCGTAATAGTTAGTTTTTAGTTTTTGGATAATTTTTTTTGAATTTTAAATAAATTAATAAACTTTAGAGTATAAAAATAAAAGCACTAGTACTAATAATTAAAAGGTGAAATATACTGATTTTTTTTTCTTTTATTCTAATCTAATGTTTGTTTGGGACGACTGACTATTGTTAAAATACAAGATTTTTCCCTAATTTCAGATATTTTTAATTCTAATGCAACATGCATTTTTCTCTAATTTCTTTGAAAAATATATCAAAATCAGTTTCTTATAAGCTAAGTAGAATTAAAAAAGCACTCAAAAAATAATTATCACATAATCATTATTTAAACAAACATACAAACACCATAAATTTTAGGGATTTTCTAATATGTGCCCTAAGGGCACATATAGGAAGTATTAATTATGAAAAATATTACCATAATTAAATTCAAAATACATTTATTATGGAGATTATTAATGCATTTTACATTTAATTATGGTAATATTCCTTATAATTAATGTATTTTACATTTAATTATGGTAATATTTGTCATTAATTAATGCTTCTTATATGTGCCCTTAGAGCACATATTAAAAAATCCCTAAATTTTAATTAGCAACTAGAGATCTTAGATCACAATTAACTTTATTAAGATAAGGTTGATAAGCATTCAAAATAGTAAGTTGGATGATATATTTGCTTAGAAGAGAATCTTACATATTTTTGATAACCCATAAAGTTGTATCCTTTTACACTATCTTTTCAAGTTTTTTGAGAAAAGGGAAAAAGGCAAACAAAGGAAAATAATGAAAATGATTATTAAATCCGTGGGATCGAGTTGAGAAAAAAAGTAACACTCTTTTATGTTTTTGAAATGGAAAGAAATATAGGAAAACTGATAATTCTTTAGCTTTGCTCTTTCAATGTGTGTATATAGTAGTATGAATGTAAAAACATACACAAATATATTAAACCTTTCATGACAAATTGACAATCTCAAATAACATTCATTCAAGCAAAAACATTTCAGCCACATGGCCGGATACTTAGGTTATACAAACATTGCTAAAGTTGTTCGACGACACAGATAAGTAATATTTTTCAGACACCAACTCAGTGCAAATCACTTCGCGAATTAGCAATAAAACGTTTTCTAAAACCATTTCTCACGAATTTCGCAAAAGAATGTCATTTCACCTAACTTAAAAAACCGTAGACTCGACTTAACATAAGCATTTCTTTAAGACGTCTAGATTTCATGTTCCATTCCTATAAGACCCTTGTTATTTTTTACACATAAAATGATCAAACAGCCTTTAATTTGGCTCAAACTCTACTTTCTTAAGCTCCACGAAAAGTAATATCGAATTGTTTGGATCATAATCATTCTCGTTATGTTATGTCATTTGGCTAAACATCAAACAATGTAACTGTTATTCTTCTTGATGTAATAATTATGTTGTTCAATAAACCATACAAGCTTCACATAACTATTTAAAATACGTATTAATAGAGACAGTTAATCGAAAATTTTGTTGACTAAAATAAAAATAATGTTACGAAGATGTTGATTTTATGGACGCAATAAAACTAATAGACACGAGACTTTATTGGATAAGTATATATTAAATCTTGAGTGTATGTTTTGACTTAATTATTATTATTATTACTTATAGCCGCTTTCACACTCACAACCGTTGGATCACTTCAAACCCACATCCGTTGGATCGCTTCAACTTTGCATCACAACCGTTCTAATTCGCTATTTATGGGTATTTTACGGTTTTTTTGCTTGATGCACAACTTCACAGAAGACGGTCTTCTTCTCCACGTCTCCCCCACGTTCCTCGCAATCGCCGGTTGTCTCCTCCCACAACCATTCAATCGGTTTCTCAACCTCCTTCCAAGAGTGATTTAGTTGCCATAAACTTCTTTCAATCAATATCGATTCCTTCCCTATTTACCGCTTCTTCTCCAAAAACCGATTCTCTTCATTGGTTGAAGCCAACGGCTTCCCCCGCTTCTTCTTCCCCATGATATTTGCTTGCCATGTTTTTCCCTATATAGGGGTGATTATGATATCTACGATTGACTTTACTTCATTTAGCATAAAGACTAATGTCTTCTGAAATTGAAGATAAGGCAGATGTTCGGTCCCTCAATCTAGAGTTTTTATATCGTCAATCATAAAGGAAATTAGCTCCAGAGAGAATCAGAAGCATCAAGCATCAAGTACGTTAGTTTAGGGGTGGCAATCGGGCCATCGTGTTGTGTTTTTGTCTGACACGACATGACAATATTTTTATGTAACACGAACACGACACGACACGATGTCGT